ACATATTCTTAGAAAAATACAACCTTCCAAAACTCAATCAGGAAGAATCTAAAAATATCAATAGGCCAATAGCTATGGAAGAAATTGAAGCAGTCATCAAAAAACTTCCAGCAAACAAAAGCCAGGGGCCAGATGGCTTCACAGGGAAGTGGATGGACCCAGAGAGCATTATGCTAAGCGAAATAAGTCAATTAGAGAAAGATAAATATCACATGATCTCACTCATTTGTGGAATATAACAAACAACATAAACTAATGAACAAAAACAGATCCAGAGACAGAAAAGCCTTGATCAGATCATCAAACCTAGAGGGGAGGTACGGGAGGGTGGGGGTAAGAGGGAAAGATTAACCAAAGGACTTGTATGTATGCATATAAGCCTAACCAATGGACACAGACACCAGGGTGGGTGAGGGCATGAGTGGGGGGGTGGAGAGTAGTGGGGGGATAAGGACACATGTAATACCTTAATCAATAAAGAAAAAAAAATGACTTTGTTTTTTCCAAATTGTTTTTGCTAGAATTTGAAAATGTTAAATAAATAAAACAACTTGGATCAATAGATTCCTTTTTATTGCTAATTAACAACTTGGATGGACACTGCATTAAACCAATATATTGATTTGGACAGAACTGACATCTTTACTATGTTGAGGCTTCCAATCCATAAACATATGTCTTTCCATTTGTTTAGATCTTCAATTTCATTAGCATTTTATCTTTTCAGAATACAAACTCATGGCTTCTTTATTAGATTTACATCTAATCATTCCAGTTTCTATTTGAGTAACTATAGATAGTAATGCATTTTTAATTTTGATTGTCACATGTTACATATAGAAATGTACAGAAATTTAATTAATGTTTGTCTTGTATTCTGACCTTGCTAAAATTATTTATTAGTTCTGCCTTTTATATTATATATTTATGAGATTTTCAAAGTAGAAGATCATGTGATCTACAAACAGGGACAGTTTTATTTCTTCATTTCAGGTCTGTGTGCCTTTCAACTTGGATATATCATGAAAGGGTGTTTCTTGTAGACTGCATAAAGCTAGGTCATGTTTTTTAATCCATCCTGTCAGTTCCCATCTTTTAAGTAATATATGTACTTAATGTAATTACTTTTGTTATAATTCAAGTGTGGCTTTTTTGTTCATTGTTTTGTGCACAGGATGATACCCAAACAACTGAGCCACACCAGCCTGGGCTGTATAACTTTTTAATGGTTGCCCTATATTGCAGCCTACATTTTACCAGTTTGAGTGAAGTGTAAAATCCTTATCTCCCTTTACGTTCCTTTATCCTCCTCTATTAATAATTGTCTTAAATATTATCCTCTACATTCATCGAGAACTATATTTGAAAAAGATAATTTAAAAAACTAGAAAAAAAGAAAATCTACTACATTTATTCATATTTTTCCTCTGTTGTCCTTTCTTTCTACTCTTCCAAGATTCCTTCTTTTATCTCCATCATAGAGAAATTCCTTTTGCTATTCTTTGCTGGCAATCAATTCTTTTAGTTTTCTTCCTCTGAGAATGTCTTGATTTTCCCTTCATACAGAATACTGAATTGACAGTTCTTTTCTCCAAAACTTGAAAAATGTGCCAATTCCTTCTGACCCCCATGTTTTCAGATCTGCTGTAATTTGAATTGATGTTTCCCTCTGGGTAATGAATTCTCTGATTTCAGGAACATTTGTGGTCTTTAGTTTTCACAAGTTTAAATAGAAAGTATATTGGCATGGGTTTCTTTGGGAGAATTCCTGTAGGCATTTATTCACCTTCTTTAATCTGTTTTGTCTTTTACCAAATTTGGGGAATATTTAGCCATTATTCCTTCAAATACTTTTTCAGCCTCCCTCTTTTCTGACTCTCTTGCTGGACCCCAAGGATCCAAATGTTGTATCTTTTGTTATGGTTCTACCTGTTCTAAACCCCTGTTCACTTTTTCAATCTATTTTCTCTCTATTGTTCAGGTAATTTCTATTTTTCTGTTCTCATGTTCACTGATTTTCCTCTTTC